ATGGGAGAAATTAGAGTTTCAACAGAGCAGATGCGATAAATTTAAAAAATGAAGCTATATGGCCATCCACATGACATTACCACCTTCTAGCCTTGGACCAGTAAAATAGCTGTTGTTTCATTTTTCTTTTGATCAAATCTTACATATCAGCATTTCAAGGCAATACATTAAACTATGTGCATTTATTTTCACACGAAGAATGATGAGGAAGCTGTGAAGTTGACTTCATGGTATTCCATAATGTACCCTGAAACCAGACTTGGGTAAACAGACACATATGACAATCCTGTCTGATGTTGTTGCAACAACAATTGTAGAAACATGAGAGAATGTATATTGAGAATATATAAACTGTATAACTTCAGAGCCATTATTCCGTTAGGTTTGTCTTGACAAATAATCCTAACAGCAAGATGGCATACAGAAACTACATCCTTTGACAAAATGAAAAGCTTGGGTGAGGTAATCAGAGTTATTCCTCCCTAAGCCATACAAAATGTCTACCCATCACTAGACACATAGGTTTCAACAAATATTGTGATTTCATTACAATGTATGAGTATACTGTATTTGCTCTATTAGAAGTTTACTTACATAAAATATTTACTGTGTTGTTAAAGTAGAACACACTTTCATCACCAGAAGCACATCTCTAATAGAACCGCATTCACTTCGACCATAGACTTTGACACACATGCTATTCAAGCCAGACTAAACATTCCTTATTGAGTATTTTGTATTTTTGTTATTTGTTCAAAAAAAAAAAACTGGTTGATCGCAGATGTTTTGGGTTATGTAACATTTGCAGGAGAACTTATGATTCAATTATGCTCTTACATGCTTTTACTTTGATTTTCTATTGTCAGCTTGATATAGTAACATGTCACACGCAACGTAATATTACCGTAATTGGTATAGTGCAGGTGTGATGGTTCAAATACCAAAATGGCAACAGTAACAAAAAGACTTCCCTGGCGGCGATGATAACATACGAACACGGAGCCAACAGATGAGGTTTCAACTGGTACTGGTATTATTATACTCTGCAAACATCAAGTACAATAACGCGGTAAAACTCCACTACTCCAATAACTAGATACTTAAACTCCAATACAATTCAACGAGATCTCCGATCTGATCTCTGTGCTGAGCAACTCCCCTATATATACCCACACTGTCTATAAATAGACCATTACATCAGCATACATAATGAGTCTGGAACTTACTACAAATTTCTAGAATGTTCCATTACCTTCTATTGCCTTCTACAGCGTCATATTACCTATTCAACCAACTTCTAAAAATTCCACCCAGACACAGTACGGTTCTAGAACATTCTCAGTCACACGGAAGTGGTAAACAAGTCGTATGCGACACATGAAGGTACTGGCTCATTCTATGCTTTTCTTGAAAAGTTGCCAAACTCTTGTCATAGTTCACAGGCAGTCTAGCTCAGTCTTTGCCCTCTCACATCAGTACCAGTTTCTGTAGCTTTAACGATAATATTGTAGGATGTGTAGAATACAACACTTTTGTCGAAAAACATCCCACAAACGCACGCTTGTATGAGTGCAAATACAATAAAACTACTTAGTAAGAACTTTTAATTATACCACTCATTTATAAAAAAAATCTTTTGAGCGAAAAAAATAGACACATTCGGCTTTAATTTAAAGTAAAAACATTACCCAGTGTTGTGATGATTACAGTAAAAGTATGCGGCTGAAATGACGCCACTTCCGGTACAGACATTCCGCCAGCCCCAATGCCTTTATTTATAAAATGCATTGCACAGGCATATAACCCAAACGCTGACATCACCATCATCATATCATCATTGTTGCGCATAGAACCCCTTGACGTCACAATCCCAACAAATTTGCACCCACCATTATTACTAATATAGATACTGCCATTTTGGTGGTCATCTACCCATTTTCTGATCAACGCCCAGGCATTGAGGAGAGTTAAGTTCGCCATGTAGTTTACTATCGCAAGGCTATTGTTTAGCAATAGGACTATATATACCATTTGATTTTTAGGGACGACAGTATAGTCAATTAACACATTCTTTTTTGGTTTGATTTTCAGTGACTGTATTTTAACTCATTCTATAAAAATAGCATGCCCCAAAAGTGTTGTGTCAAGTGAGAATAGTATACCCAAATGAGTTGTATCGTGCATGAAAGAAAATTAGCATGCTCGATTTAATCTAGCTATTTTGAAACACTTGGACGAGCATAGGCCGCCATTACAAGAAGGGGTCACTGCAAAAAATGATTTGCATCCCATGTTAGCGGTCATCTCCAATCACTTATACTAAGGGGGCGTCTCCTAAATATGACAATGAACTACATTACACCTACCACAAATTATTCCAGTGGATTTGGTCAGAGCAATTGGACATGTTGAATATCATCTGACATGAGGTCTTCATCATTCTCTGGTTCATTGTTGACATGTTCTTAGACTGGCCCGATAAAATAGGTGTCATCTGCTGTGGCAATAAGGGCCAGGCACAACCACATATCACACAATTGGTATGAGGAATTTGAGATTGACCACAGAGCCAAACAACCTGTTCTGAAAGCTTTTATTATATTACTTCAAATGCAAATAGAAGAGTGCATGGAATCATTGGAAGAAACGGTGTCCATTGCCTTGTGATAACTGTTATAAAGGTGATTGACCAGTCAAAGTAGTTTACAACTCTGGAAAGACAATTGGAATCTGCCAGGTGTGTTTGTGATTTACATAACAAAGGATGTTTATGATCTACTAACTCTCCTACGTGAGTGTCTGCATGTCATCGTGAGACAGCTGCTAACAAGACCACATTCTGATTGGCTCTTGTAAAACCCAGGTGGTGTATCTAAAACTGAGCCATTTATGTTCTATAAATAGGCTAGCTCGAGGGCAGTTGTATACTCTGTGTGTTGCTGCTCCGATGTTGTGAGACAAGTGATACAGGCTTCAACCATCATTCTGTGAGACTTGTATGAACTTCACTGCGATCTCCTGCTAACAGCGGTGCCTCTAGAATAACAGTGTTTCTCTGCAAGCAAGACTCCTGTATCTCTTCGTTGTTCTGTTGCAGGAATTTATTGACTGTTATCAATTTCCACATTTCATTTCCAGTACTATTGTATTGTCCACCCTATTCTAGCAGTGAAAGAAACCCCTGTCCAGTGTGGGTGTCCCTCTCGATATCAATAAGCAGGCCTTACACTGAGACACAGAGCAACTAGTTTCAGTGTCAAGCTAAGGCTCTATCTCATCCTAACATGCTGCCAGGTGGTCGATGAATAGGTGCAAGCGATATTGTTTCAAATATATTAAAGAGGACTTTGTTGGTGCCAACTACTATTCCAAGGACAACCAAAAACAAAACATAGTAACAGAGTCCATGAAAGAGCTTGTTCTCAATTAAAAGGTCACTATCAAAGCTGTTACCAAGACCACTTACTGATTGGCGCCTTGGCTATACAATGACGATGCACTCCTCTTATAGCCTCACTATACATGACACCTAATATGTATGGACAACTACTTTGAATGGGTAAGCAACCTTGCCTACCTCTTGAGGTCACGTATAACGTATATTCATAAGCTCAAACAGGTAACCCTCCCTCCAGAAAAAAAGGAAGAAAAAGTAGGCCAGGCAACTCACTCAACAGCAACTCCGCAAGACCATCCATGTATTTATTTTGACAGTCAACTACATCTTATTACTAGTCTAAAACACACACACCATATGCATGAACACTTGTTCACCAGGTCAACCTGGAAAAACTTTGGCCAGCCTTGTGGGCTGTGATTATAGAATCATGAGAGAGCATCTGAGACCTCTCTTCTTCTTGGCCTTCATGAAACATGGGGCCATATACCAGCAACCACTGTAAGGGCATATTTTTTGGTCTTGATTGATGCCTCAGGTCAAAGTCTGAACAGTTGTTTTCGTCCGTGAAGTTTTGCCATGAAATAATATTGTTTTGCTGCGATGAATTAAATAGATGTTGTTACTTGTAGGCAGCAGTAGTAATGAACTAATGTGTATTCCTTCGGTTGGAATTTGGTATCTCTCAGCCATGCGAACAACACCGTGAGGCTCTGCACCAGTTGCATTTTTGGTAGACTGAAATTCTATAGAAACTCCAACCAACCCAGTGGTAATTTAGAATTTCTCATCTCTTAATTTGCTTGATAATGTACATGAATTTGGTTAATAAAACAGGGGGATGGAATGGATCGATGGAACCCTGCCCGGTGCACTGGGCTGTGCGACAGGGGCATGATCAGTAGCATCAAACGTACCAGGGTTAGTGTAAGAAAAGTGAAAGCATCCCCAATAGACGGTAATATCGCTATATATTGTCGGATTATAAACAATGATAATTTCGTAAAGAACACAAGAATGGAATTTGACAATCCAGCAGAGTTGACTATTGGTGGAAGTGTTCATTGTTTAGTACCATGGCAGATCATGCCTGTTTTCGCAGCACCAATAAAAAACAAGAATTGGGGATTATCTTGTTTTACTCTATCTAGAAGTCGATTATTGTGAATTGAGAAATTTCAGGGATATTAGGGACTGTTCATATGTTATTTTATCCTTACTTTGTACCTCAGAAACATCTTATGCAATACTTTTTTTTCAAATTATATTTCCTAAAAACCTTTAAATATTTCATTCATTCCGTAAGTACAACCTATTTTGAAGAACTCTGCTTAACAATGAATTATATAGTTCAGGCAGGCACTTACATTTTACATAATATATTGTTATCTTGTATTGCTTTAGGTTTTTATTTTTTCCTGTACTTTATTGCATCGTTTTGAAGTTGACTTTTATTCCAAATATGTAATTGGCTCATGAATGAATGAATACATAATCGTATTATACATCCGATCACATCGTTCCTGTATATAAGTTAGGTAGGCAGTTATAACGGTTATTAATGTTCGAAATTACCGACATTACAAAAGCAATACATTAATACAATGAGAAACAATTATAGTGTTTTATTGTAACTTGTATACATGAGTGTACTAGAATAAATACTTATGAACAAAGACGCGGCTGAAATAAATAATCATTCTAAAAAAACAAATATTTAAATACATTAAAAACATTAAACTTGCATCCCGGATTTGTATGGGTAATTGTACGATTTGGTGAGTGGTTTAAACCCCACGGTTATATATACTAATCATATAATATAAAACATTACAAGGCCGATAATCTGTGTTTTAAATGTGCCATGGGTAATAACCTGTTGATGAATGTAGTGTTTCCACTATTAGCAAATAGAGGGACTCCACATATTAACAGTCAAGAATTATTAATTTCGTACATAATTAACACGACTCTTTCAAATGTATGACATTTCCCCCATAAACCCTCGCTTGTGGACTCAACATACTTACTAATGTATCAAACTTTTTTATATTGCTATCAGAAAACGAAGTGTAAGCATAAACATCACATAGGAAGTAAATCATCAATAGGCTGTATATTTTCTAATCGCATTTCTATCTGAATGAGAAGGTTGACATTATCTATCCACGTCTGCACCAAATAGACTTCAGAAACACCGAGACGTACTGAATTAGAAATATCACATATACCATCTTTGATAGCACTACCATATCCGGCTAAAAGATTAAAACAGCATAAATATCGAAAGTTAAAAAAAAGTTGTCAAAACAAAAAAATATTGCTCTTAATATGACTTAAAGTTACAAATTGTTCATTATTGGATATAAAACCTAATGGTCTTGTCATTTACCCCGTTTACAATATCTACAACCCAGACTACATAATTATGATAAGAAGAAGACAATGTGAAATATTACCTGTTCCACGACACTCTAGTTTTAAAGATGATAATATTTTATAAAACCTTGGATGCTTGGATAAGTTCGGCAGTTTAACATGAACACTCGCTCTCAATCCTGTGCCGAGGTTAGCTGGTTCAGTACTGAGGTAACCTAGATCAGCCCTCCACATGAATTGATGGTTCTGGATTTTCAGCGTTTGTTCAACCTAAGAAAACAAAAATAGTAATGTACAAGAAAGGCATCTAAATAATACTGGACACCGGTAAGCAACTATTAACTGCAACTGAATATGACTAATATTTCAAATTCACAGACTCATGTTTAAGTGGTGGTAAATTTGTTTTGCAGAACGCCATGTGACGTACAGCAATGATATTTTTTTGTAAAAAAGATAAACCATGCAAACATAACATTCGATAAAACTGTGAACTACATTTTTTGAAGTTTATGACAAGCGAAGACGGCCCAGATGTGTCTGATTTCCAAACACTGTGTTCTAGTTTAAACAATGAGACATTCGTTTATATGTACATCAGGCAAAAAATATCTATTCTTCACTACAGCAAGTTCAAAAAGCGTAAGGAGAATATCATTTTACATATTCGCCTTATGAATTTTTTCTACAGGTTGTGCGTATATTTGTACCTTATTTTTCTATTGAATACGAAAAATATTTTCTCCATATTGAATCTGGAAAATGAAATGAAATTTTTCTGTGACATGATTTTTATGAATCTACAAGCTAGTGTGAAACTACATACCATTCCCAAATATGTTCACAATTACGTGGTATCAGGGAGACAATATTAATGAACAAGACCATGGTTAAATAAAGCGCAATTCACTGTCGGGCATTAGATCTCAGAATAGGAGATGGTTTGACTGATAGTGATTGGCTGACGTATTTGTACCTAGAAACTCATAGCCGCCCCTTAACAACCTTTCTAAAGCAGGCCGCCTGAGGGCATTCGCTTGTCGATTTATACACCGCCTCTTGTTTTGAAACATACAAATTTGTATTTGTGGAGAATTCCCACCTAAGCAATGAAGACTTGACTTAAGGTCCTATATGTACTCGATGCCCAAATCTGGTCTTTTACGGCCACCCAACAAAGGGAATCTGCACAAGACCTCCTTTACCATCACACAATGCTAGTCATATGGGCCAAAGATAGTGGCAGGTTCCCTGTCCTCCCAGTAAAGCGGAATTCTTCCAATGTAAGCAATTCCTTGTTTTAGTGATTAGATATTCGAAGTGTGATACAACTTTAGAATCGAACTTTTGGTCACCACCTTCAGCCTAAAATATTTTCAGGCCAGTGTTGAGAGAAGAAGATTTGATTGAACCAACTAGGAATAAAGTTAATGAACTAGAAAAAAGGATGGTGCAGCTTCTCGAAAAGAAACAAGTGGTCTATATCTCGTGTTGACACTAATTTTGTTAGTCAGTGTTTGGTTTTCTCTTTGTGGCTCTAGGCTTTGGTTAGAATGACTAGTTCACTTGTATACGTAGGTACATGTATGTTACAAGTACAGACCTTCCTTGGCTGACCAGGTCAAATTGGGGTTGGTGACACTTAGCTAATTCCAGGTTGGATTTAACATTAGCACACGATTGACCATTAACCTGGGTATTTATTCGGTCACAAAGTTTCCCCTGTATAATTCTGTCAGATAAAACAATCATGTGTTTTACCCTATTATTGGTGGGCCGTCGTCAATGAAGTTAGTTGATATTTGCATACATATTCGAAAGTTCAAAATATATCATTACCTGTTTCATTGCATTGCAAAATCGTGTGAAAACCTCCTTTACATGACCCCCTGGCTGCATGGAAATTACTCTCATGTGGTCTTCTTCATTCACCCAAAATATCAACGTTTTGTCCTCGGTATACCTGTAATAATTAGTGACCAAATCATTGGTGGGCATGTTACAGTGCTACGTGGATATACGCAATAAGTCATCTAAGTAGCGGTCAATATTCAGCTCAGAATACTCAAATTGAAAAGGTCAGTGCGAGGTTGAAACGAGGTTAATACTTGTCTCCTATGGTAAACTCTGAATATTGACCAAACAAATAATAATATAATAGTGGTATTAGTTAAATATCTTATGGAAATTGTGTATTTTCAAATTCCTACAAGGTCTTACCAAATGCCCCGTGCATCGGGCCAATCTCTAGCACATCCAGATACTAATTGGAATCCGACTTTAGGTGTTCTAAACAGGTAATGGTTTGACATCAATGATTTGCACAATGCATCATCCATGGTCGACAGAGGGTGATACTCCCCACCAGGAAATGAATTTAGGGCTGGAAATAAAATGATAAAATAAATATTGTGTGAATGAAAAATATTATAGAGTGCTTTCTGAAATCAGCTTATTTGGGATCCACCATTATGTGTGTCTGTGTTTCTATTGCCCCCTCGTCTTATTGCACCCGAGGGACAATAGTACCTAGTTCCTATTGCACCCTCACTTTCTATTGCACCCCGCATAAATGTGTATTACATCACAAAACTATACATTTTGTTATAAGCTCAATGGATTTTAAAGGAAAAGCTGACAATCCCTGGGACAAGATTTCAAAATAAAAAAAGATAGGGGTGAGGGATACAGTAGAAACTTGTGGGTGCTCTCATGAATTGCTCAAGGCATGTATAAACGACCTTTGGGTTGCCTCTCGTCAAATACACAAATTGAAGTAACGTCGGCCATTTTTGAACCAATCATGAAATAATTGCACATGCGTGTGTATCAGACTCACACATACACACCCACCCCACCCACAATAACACTGGCAGGTCTCGGATAAAATGGGCATTTAAAACCTTTTTTTATTTGAAATATTTAAATTGAAAGATGTACTGTTCTTCACTATTAGCCCCCGTTCGGACGCAGTCCAAAAACGGGGACTTATGTTTTACCTGTGTGCGTCTGTGCGTGTGTCCGTGCGTTCGTGCGTGTGTGATTCCGGACCTGTATCTCAGAAATGCCTGGACCAATCATAATCAAACTTCACACATACATGATATTATACATATGCACATTGATTTGTAAACATAGTCATTCATTCAAACGCAGGAATTGTAAAGAAAACACACACACAAAAAACATAAATTTCCTATTAATAGAACAAAGACAATTTGTTAAATTGTGCCTTTACAATAAACTCCAGCCCATATTTCTTTTCTTATTTTGCTTGGCTTGACAATTACTATTTTAGCATAAATTTTAACTAAAGTGTTTAAATATATAGGTTCAGTTCAATAACATTGATAATTTTGAAATGATGATCGTCTAAAATAGAAACCATGACAAATGTGTTAGCTATAAAGAAAATATGTCTAGAAGAATTATAAGATCGTAACTCATATGTAACTATATTACTAGAGTGTAAATATTCCGAATATGAATATTAAATTTATGTTTTTCCATTCAAACTTCGGAGCAATTTCTCGCAGACAGTTTAATTTCATGAACAGTGCTCAAATAAATATGTTCCTATTGGGACGTAATTAAAAAACGTGACCAATTACCACAGACAATACTTCTTTCCACTGCCCTTCGCTCAGATCTACAGCAGAATGGCGGCAGGCAAAATCCACGAATATTTCGACTTGCTCGTATTCTGGTACTGACAACATAATTCTCGTCAAAAATCTCTCCTGTTATCTTTTCGGGAGACAGATCAGTTACATTCATACATTCTGCAAAAAAGGTTAATGCTGACAACGTAAAGTAAAACTTATGCCTATTGTTGCTAAATGTCTCATTCATTTGTATTTTGTTATTTTTTGAATACATTTTCTAATCCGGGAATTCGACATGAGCTTAACATTCGATCATTGTCTAATATGTTCATTCAGAGTTTTGTATTTGCTGTAGAATACGATATTGTATTCGATTTCAATAAGTTAGACGTGATAGATACACCAACTAAACAGCTAGACCACCTACCAGCCCGGACGATTTTATGGTACCGTTCTATTACTGGACCAAAAATATCTGCGAACACAGTATACGAGTCCTCATCACCAGCGACAATGCCGATAGTTTCTGATATGATATAAAAATCATTGTATTATTATAATAAACTATATAATATTTGTATATAATACTTCACAGTGTGCTACATAATGATCACTACTATTAAAGCGGGAGAGTTGTCACCTGCGCACGCGCGGAAATTGAGTCGCAAGCGATGATAACAACACACGCTAAGAACGCAAGGGCTCATGACACGCTATGGCCACCTGACGCATGCGTAGGTCACCACTCCTCCGCTTTAACAACCGCATGGTACATACCTGTAACTCTATCAAGGCAGTGTTGGATTGCTCGATCAAATGTGAAACCACTTGATGTTCTGACATCACGAAGTTTAGCGTAGATGTCTTGAGTCAAATAATCTTTTAGAAGAGCATTGCTTTTGCTTAAGTCTGGAAAATCAGATTGAGCTGGATACCTCTTCTGGTTCTGATTGGCCATTTTTCGTCAAGCTACAATATAGATGAAGTTGATGAAAATGTGTTTATTTCGGTTGTATATCTAAAATGTAACGCAATATCGATCAGTTAGTTGCAGGAGAAAGAGTGCAATATTCAAACAATGTATTCAAGAATCAACATTCCTATGAAAAATGCACATTTATATTCCAAAATGTACACTTAATATATATATTCCCAAAATATATATTTAGATTATAGAAACGTAAATTTATATTAAAAGGATAACTAAACCTTTGCATTCCAAGATATACATTCACGAAAATGTATTTATCTTTTATAAAAGCATTATTAATAAGTTACTGAATGAGTGAAAACATTGTAGTACATGTACATGCGTATTTGTGATAATTCCATTGAGATAGAAAGAGTTGAATTTGAGTTAAATTTGTCAGCAGTTTACATTCATACATTTACTCGCTGTTAGTACCACAAAAGTCACATTGGCTGGTATTATATTGATTGAATAAATAATCCCAATCAACATACAGGCAAGTAGTAGAGTTCCCGGGCTCTCTATTGTTTGACCTTGACAGTGCAAATTTAGTTTCACCACAGTCCCTGGAGGGACTGTGATTTCACTGATAAATATAAATACATATATACATACGTGGACAGAGAAATTAAGACACGACTACATGAGTAAAGTTGACTCTACAGCACTGTTTCGTAAGGTACATGGGGTACCTCACTCATCAGGAGTGATGGAGGTTAAATAAATAGATAAAATTAAATAAATAATACATATCTAACCACTGAAAATGTGGGCCGGGCATGTACAAATGGTGCAATAATGAATAATAACACGTTGAATTATCTTAGATGGCATAAATATCAAAACCATTTAATTATGACACCAAATGGTATATCGCATGCGAAGCAGGATGTGCTCACTTTTCGAAAGGGCTGACATATCCAACATATTTACCATATATCTTTATCTTACTGATTTGACAAAATTAACGACAATTTATGATAACAAATTTAATATATCTTGTATACTTTTCTTAAACAATGATGTACAGGTTTGAAACATTGTCCCTGAGACATAATTTAGATGAGTTATAAAAATGTTTCACATGGCCATGGCCGTTCTAACACACACAGAGCATATGTGAAACATATCACAAATATAATACAATTAGTGGTGATAATTAATGGATACAAATAAATACAATTAGACACTATTGTCTTATGCAGATTCAACAAAATTGACCAATTAAATCATGTGACAAAAGCCAAAACCCAATGAATAAAAAAATAAATATCATATTCATGCATACCGGTAGTATAATGCATATAAAGTGCATTCATTAAGTAAATCAGATAATTCGAACACCAAAGTGAACAGCTCTCCAAAATGTTAAAAAGCATGGGTTCATCAACAGAACTCCATTGCCTGTCACAGTGATTTCAATAAAAACAACTGCCCAATAAATAACTGTAGCTTCTAAAGTTTCAGATGACGCCAGGGATTGGCTGTCGACAATTTGGTATGATGAGTGGCAGAATTATATCATTTCTGAGCGCCACTGTGCCAATGCTACATCATCATGTTCACCTAAAAATCCAACATGGCCGACTCTAGATCTCACTAAATCTCGTGAGATATTGTGAGACGTCGTAAAATTATTCCTCAGAGTGCATATTCTAAAAAATTTAAAGACATTTTAAGACTAGTCTGAAAAACGACCATATCTATCTTTGTAGTTTAAAAAAAATTCAGAGCAAGGTTTGAAAATTTACTGAGGATATCTGGGACTTTTTCAAGACTAGTCTGAAACATGTCTAGTCTTGAACTAGTTTTAAAATGATGATTTTCATCGGAAATGTTTCAGTCATGTCACACACATTAGTAGGAGTGCACAATGTCGCAAACATTTGGTCTATATATCTTTATCTAAATGATTTGACTACTATGTTGTGTAATGTACTCGTCAGTTAATTGTTCTGTTTTTGTGTTCCTGGAATTGTAAATTTACCAATATGAATTGTGTTCAACGATCTACGGTTGTACAAATTATTTCCAGTTAAGTAGTAATTCATATTTATTCTAAAAAAAAACTTCATTTTACAGACATGTTATGTCATGGGGAAAGAAACATATTTTGTAGACCACCTCGTAAATCAGCTTTCTACTGATACAGTACTCCAAATAACCAATATAATGTATAAAATAGCTAACTTACATGAGAATCTGGATCTAGAAAGTGCTTCTTCGGTATTCGTATGGTAGACAGTGATAAATATGGAGGACAATATGATTTGTGACGCTACAAATTAAGCCTATATTTTTGTTGTGTGTACCAGTAGAAATAAGAAATGTGGGTATTCGAATTGGTAACCACAGACAACCTGATTCATTCTAAATATATCATAGTGTATAATGCTAGTCATACCTCATATTGTTTACACAGTATATAATTTAGTGTCTCATACTATCAACAAAGCCTAACAAATAATGAACATTCAGTATGAAAACTTCCTTTTTGCAACAAACAAGTGTATACCCATGAGCCTTTGCGTTTTTATCGTGTGTTGTTATCGTCGTTTGGGACTCAATTCCTGCGCGTGCGCAGGTGACCCTCCTGCTTTAAATAAACAGTAATAAACAATACAGTCACATACAGTCTTATCAAAACTCCTGAAATACTGTTATTACTGTGCATCTCCTAAGGTACAACGTGACCATACAAGAGTAATTAAACAGAGATCATAAACCCATTTGCATATCCAAACCCAAGAACAATGAAAATATCATATGGCGGCTACGGACCGGCGACGTGTCACTAATTTGAAGGGGTTATTGCTTCGTACTTTGGAGAGGGGGGACCCCGAGAAATACGATTCCGTTCCTTGTAATCGATCAAGGTGTAATACTTTCCTTTATTACAGATTCGTAATCGTATATTTGATCCCAGGGGAGATGTTGTCAATAAATAATGTATTCATTTGTGTCATGTAATAGATGCGGGAAACTAGGAGATCGATTTTGCAATCAATCCTTTTAGTTTCTATTGCCTTAGATTTTCTCCAGAGAGCACATGCTATAGATTAATAGTAGTAACGGAATATTTAACGACATTTCTCAATATTTTGAAAAATAGTTTCGTGGCTATGTGAAATATTTAAATGTTGATAGTCACGATGTTGATAGCCTATTAGAGAGAGCCACGTATAATCATTGATAATATCACCCATACAGACAATGTTGGATTGAATTTTCAACATCAGATCACCAACTAATTTCTTCTTTAGCCGAGTAATTACGTCATTAGGTGCTGCTTTTGCTTTCCCGCACAATGACTCGGCACTGATGCTCGACATGTGCGTAATACATTGCATAAATATATTTAGATCTGCAATGTCAATAACCAATGTGGGGGAAGATGGAATACGTTTTTATATACCATGTCAATCATAGATATTCACGGGGGGGGCGGACATCCGGGCATTTTCACCGCCTGGCAACCAACACGATTTCAACAAAGGCCGAAAACTCTACTTTGGGATTGTTATTTAGACTCTCCTGAACAGTGTAACAAGATTAGCCCTGTGCGTGCAGCATATATAAATTTGGTTGATCAGGATTACGTCGAAGTTGAGTTTGTGTTGTTTTCTCGAATTTAGCTATTTTTACCGGCTCCTCGACCGGCGTTCCACAGCAGCTCGCGCAGAGCCCATAGAAATACACGGTGCGGTGGTTAGCGTCTTAGCAGCGTAGTACGCCTTGTGACGTAGCTCCGTCCCCGAGAATACTGTCTTATAATAAGCTGTCAGAACATTTGTTTAAATTTGGTGTGTTTTTCCCTATTCCATAAAACTGGTGGTGTCTAGCTTTTTTAGTTAAACTGAAATTGAGAATTGGAACTTTCCCACAGACCATCATACGTTGTCAACCTTGGGGAAAAGGTTGTTATTTTTTTTTTCATTTTTTCAGCCAACTATTTTTGTTGTAATGTTCAATACTGGGTGATTTGTGATTTAATTAGCTCAGTAGACCAAGGGACATCAACATCTGCCCAGTAAAAGCCCGTTCGTTGTAGTATAAGTCCAGCATGTTTACTAAATTTGTTAATCAAGGTTAAAATCAAGGTTAATGAATATCACTTCTCTTCGGTTAAATAGAAATTGTGGTATTAACTGCTACAAGTCCACTTTGTTACGTTTGTCACTACCATATCCTTAATTGACTTATTAGCTATTAGTACAAATAGGAATAAGCATTGCCGAGAGTGGACGAATTCCACGCGGAATGAAGATGAATGAGGCAGTCCAGCCATTATTAATAATGTTGTCCATGTACATAATATATTATCTATGTTGAAAACATTTTGTAGACAACTTACAAAAATCAACTTCTTGACCTAAACCTTGCTCCAAATAACAACTAGATTGTATGAATGTGAAAAAAACTTACAGGTGAACGTGGATCCAGAGAGAGTGTGCTTGTTACTAGTGAAGCAAATATATAAGCTGTATATTTGTTGTGTATGGACCAGCAAAAATGGCGGAAAATGATGAAAAACTTAATATGCCCGGATGTATGACCTTTTCATCGACGAATTTTATAAAAACAGGCAGCAAGTTACATAGATGATGCTACATGAAGCCTCGGGCTGTTTTGACTGTTTTTTTGTATGTCATAAATCCCGACAACACAGTCTATATTCACTTTTTCTTCAAAAACTATTTTGAATTGATTATTTGCTCAAACTCTCATAAATAAATAACATAACTGGGTATACCAATAAATACAGCTGCAAATCGGCTTTCCAATTTGCATAAGTTGTGTTAAAATCACGTGACACGCTCGTGTTATGCTACAAATAAAGATCGATAGATCGCTAGACTGTTTTGCCAAACACGGTACATAAAACAAAGACTACTGAGAACTAAATGTAGAAACTAAAAACTTCAAAGTGCATCACATATCACCACCTTGGCGATGGGATCGATTTCCAGAACCGACTGTTCACTCAG